GAAATGCACTGTGTCAAAATGGCAGCATGTTAAAACAACTTGCTTATTATCTCCTATTGCTGCTCACTAGCATTTGAGAACATTTCCTCTGATCTGCTCTTACATATTTCCCTGCAAATCTGTAACAAGTTCATTTATGTTAGTACTCAGATGAGTGCAAAAAATCAACAAACAAAATCAGCATAGGGCCAAATCTGTTTCTTGTAGCTGATTATGTACATATACCAATTGTTTATTTACTAGTTCAGTTTAGTGTATGAAAGAAAACCGGAGGCATCCCACTGTTTTTTCCATTTGCCCAATAAGCATAATGCCATTCTTGACACTTGTTGTAGTTTTAATTTCCCAAATTTAAGAAAGGTTTTCATATTGATTAAGTCCTGCTTCTTAATGCTGACATGTTTCCTTGTTGTGATCTTAAATATTATATTGAACATTTCTCTCATGATGGACAAATTTCTGCCCCCAAAGTCACAGAAACAACTCAATTTGAAGGCAGTGGGATTTGCATGAAAGTAGCTAAGGAAAAAAAAAAGGATCATCATCTAGAAAAATCCTCACCAGTCATTTTTTTTCTTTTCTTCTTACAATAATTACCTTTTCAGTTCTTTATTTAACTCTACAAGATCCTCACAAAGCCAGTTTTCACCATTTTCCTTAACCACATGGACAACTAGCACAGCTTCATACAGTTTCATTGTATCAGGCATAAATAAAACTGGGATGTCCAATGTGCCTTTTGGTGATAATAGGATTCCTGTAAAATATAAAAAAACAGTTCACTTAAGGGGAAAAGGATATGTTGTAGAGGCTCCAAGAGTCACTCAATTACTTTCTTTTAATATGTTCAATAGAACATCCAGTAAGCATTGTATAATAAAGGACATTATCTTCTCAATGATAATAAAATGAAGTTCAACTTCTTCTAACAGTCAAATACTGTTTTGTTGCTTACAATAGACTTTTCCAGCGCATGCTCTATCTCCCTCTATTGGAGAGTAATAGCAGTTTTACAAATCAGTTTTTCAGTATTTGCTATATTACTTGAAGGCTCAGTTTCTTAAAAGAAGTTTTTACATCAGAATCTTATCACTCATTAAAAAAAAGGGTGGGTACTCACAGGTTATTAGAAACATACTCTGAGTAAACACTAAATGCTCAAAAGCTGTAAAGTAAACTTAAACTATTTTCTATATTTCTCAAATGATTTGGCTAAGCTGTTTTCATTATTAAATGAAAATTATTTTTGATGGAAAAAGTCAAGAGATTGTTATTTGGATAGGTAGGTAAATAATCAAATGTTAATAAAGTGTCTTCAAAAAACACCGACTAGGTAATATAGTAACTGCATGATATTTTGATACTTACCTGTTAACAGAATACTTAAAATGATTCCATGTTCTTTATTTCATATAATATCACTTCATTTGAGAACTAATTCTTCTATATCCATTCCAAATGTTTGCAAATGGCTGTGGTCTGTGTGTATTTCATACATTGCAGCCTGCATCTCTTCTCAAGTTCTCACTCACAGAACCCCTTTTATCTATAATTCTTGTCCTTCTTGGCCTACTTATAAAGCCCCAATGCTATTTTATAGACGCAAGCTAAACAACTATGAAGACTGACTTCAAACATCCACTTTTAATATACTATTTTGAGAGAGGGAAAAAAGCTTCTCATAAAATTTTAAGGGCAGAAGGAACCATTATAATTGCCAAACCAGGATAACACATGCCAAGGTTTCCCTGAATTAATTCCTGCATCAAATCTGTGGCTTCAAGTTGTTAATATTTCTGACTATATCAGGTCCCCTCCTAAGGATGGGGGAGACCTGGTCAAGGAAAGGGGAATCATCAATGCCCACTTGAAGGAGCATTTTGAAGACCTTCTCAATTGAGACTCTGTTGTTGATGAGAGTATTCTCAATGCTATCACACAAGACCTAGTCAGAGATGATTTCAGATCCCTCCAACTCTTGATAAGGTGAGGAAAGCTATCAAGCACAAGGAAAGCCATCAACCACAAAGCATCTTAAGTGGATGGAATCTTCATGGAAATCTTCAAGCAGGGGAGAGAGGAGCTCACACCACCGCTTCATGCCCTCATCTTAAAGATCTGGAATGAGGTCATCTGGGATTTTCTCATAAGGGATGCCATGATCATGACAATCTTCAAGAAAGGAGACTAGACCAACTATGGAAACTACTGAAGGATCACTTTGCTGTCCACCACAGGAAAGAATTGAGAGAATTCTCCTGAACTGCTTCCTCCCACTTACTGAAGAGGTGCTGCCAAAATCTCAGTGTGGGTTTAGGGCATCAAGAGGCACAACTGACATGATCTTCACAGATCTCTGACTGTGAGGAAAATGCCAGGAACAACATAAGCATCTCTACATAGCCTCATTTGACCTCATGAAAGCTTTTGACTCAGTCAGTTGAGAAGTGTTCTGGAGGATTTTTCTGAAGTACAGATGCCCAGCCAAATTCATCACCATTCTTTGCCTGCTCCATGACACAATCCAAGCAGTGGTCCTCAGTAATGGATCTACAACAGATCCCTTTGAGGTTAAAATGGGAATTAAGCAAGGCTGCATCGTTGCTCCAACACTCTTCTCAATATTCCTTGCCGCAGTACCCCATCTGACCACCGCTGGAACTTCCAGCTGAAGTGGACCTGAACTACCAAATGGATGGTGAGCTGTTTAATCTCAGCTGACTCCAAGGCAAAACCAAGACCACCCCAACCTGAATCATTGGGCTCCAGTACATTGATGATGCTGTAGTGTGTGCACACTCAGAAGCAGACCTTCAGGCAATCATTGACATCTTAACCAAGCCATGTAAAGAAATGGGCTGATCCTGGATAGGCGTCATCAGCCACTTTCAGACACACAGATAAGACAATCATGGAAGACAATCATCTTTCACTGTGAAGGATTGCTGAAGATCTGTTGCTATTATTTCATATTTACTCTCAAACTACATGCACCTGCCCCACCCAAAATGAGCCCCCCAAAAACTGAGGATTCTGTCTTAAACAAGGAAGCTGCATTTCTGTTTGGAACAGAAGCATTCATATTGCAGCAGCAGTGGAATTACTGTTTAGGTAGCTGAGGAAGCAGAGGGATCAGAGCAGCTGGTCAACATTTTAAGCTCTGCAAATTGTTCCACATAACAAGAAGATACTGGTGAGGAAGCCAGGTATCTCCAATGCAAATATTTGTTAGATATTATAATGTACAACATCTTTTTTCTGAAGACAAGAGGACTCAAACAACAAAACCCATTTTTTGCTCACATCTCCAAAGTGTCTTTCAAGCAAGACCTTATAAATGCAAAGCACTCTTTAGCCTTTTCTCAGGTTAGGTTACCTGTGCTTCCTTGACTGTCAGACTTACCTGTCCATAACTGTGGGCTGCTATAATCCTCCTCACAATATTTCACATGCACACAAAACACTCTTTAAAAAAGCAATGCTCAGCCAAAGTCATTCTACATGGATTGCTCAAACCCCGAGAAGACTCATTAATCCCTTAGTTCTTGATGGAGATATACGACCCTGTTTTAAATTATAATTATTGATTATTTCTGTGACCATAGCAACCAGTAGTACTCCTCAGGGTTTAGGATCCTATTGTACTAGGTGCTATTAAAACATGGAATACTGAGACTGTGTGCTTCTTGGGGAAGAAACTATCTAAGTTTGCAGTGCTTGTAGGGAAAATTTAAGGAGCAAGTCAAAGCTGGTGAAGACATGTATGGGAATCAGAAAAAAATGGGTAAGTTGAGTTCTTGAACTGAAGTAGGAAGGAATTTATTTGCAGTGGAGATGTCTGGTTGTAAGATTCCCATAAGAGATACTCCACAACACAGGAGCAGACACAGAGAAAGTGCATGTTGTGAGTCAGCCAGAACTGCAGGTTGACAGGAAGGACACTGGAGTGGAAGGGGAAGCAAAAGAATCAATGTGGAGGTGAATCAAGCTCTGAGAAAAATCAACAGATTTTCTCTGAGAGCTGCTCTAATTAAAGTACCACCACATGTTGTGTATCAGCATCCTCCTGGTTAAAAATGGCGGCAGGAGTGCTTGAACTAAAGCTTGTTCAATAAACTTTAGTTCAAGCACCCCCGCCACCATTTTGAAGCATGGGGACATTGCTGGAGCTTGGTAATTGCCAAGTTTTTCTAGGGTAATGAATTCTACACTGGATTTAGCCTAGGGTAGGGCTGTATGTCATATGTCTACTCCTTTTTTATACTGACCTGAACATCTGAGTGTCCAAAAAGATGCTCATATAGTACACATTTTTAAACTGCTGTATATGACGTATTATTTTGGTCTACATCATAATAGACAAAAGACTGGAGTACAGCAATTGAGCTACAAATTGCACAATAGTTAGCCATTTCAGCAGAGACTAAATGGGCCTAAAGGCTGACCCGTGCTATCACTCAAAGGAGAAGGTTTCAGTGAACAGGATTAAAACCCACTGATACCACAGTTTCAGATTGTATTAGAATAGTCCAAGTTATATGCACTCTGTGCCACTTTTCTGGCACCATTCGATACATTTCTTTGCAAACTGAAAGATTTTTTGTTACCTGATACTTTCTATTATAAAAATTCTATTTTCAGTTGCTTATAGCTTTGCTCAATTTCAGAGAATCTGCCTCAGACATTCTTTATTATTACTTTTACAAACATTATTCAGCCATTTCTGAAAATGAAATAAGGAAAAATATAGTTTTTGACATTTAAAAAATATGTCTATGATCCTTTAACTAAGGAACTCTAGGAGTCCTGTGCTATGAAGCAACTGCCAGAAATTTGGAAAGCTTGTTACCTGAGGGTCAGGGACATAGCTGCTCAAATTTGACTAAGCTATGACCTTTTGAAACAGACTCACAGAGGCATTAAAATTTGATAGTCAATCTTTCTGAAGATTCCATCTATACTGAGCGTGCCTATTAAAGTTCCTGCCAGCCAATCAGCCTCTCTCCTCAGAATGGCAGAGAATGTTTCAGCTTAGTGATGAAAGGGTTGAGCAGTACTTTCTCTTTAATGGTTCCTTCAGACAACTTAAAGTCATTTTGGTAATGAGAACTAATAGGAGAGAAACTCTCCTCTGCTCCAAGCGCTCCCCGGCTGATGACCAAGTGTACTGGAAAAGAGGAAGAAAGCATTCTAAGTAGGGCTGTCAAACAATTTAAAAGATTAATCACAATTAATAGCAAGATTAAAAAATAGTTGTGATTAATCGCAATTTTGTGTAGTTAAACAATAAAAGAATCCCAATTAATTATAAATATTTTGGACATTTTTCTATATTTTCAAATAAATTGATTTCAATTACAACTCAGTGCCACAAGGACAGAGTAGAACTGTGCTAATTTCCACGTAGTGATTAAATACAGTAAGTGAAAAGGGTCAAAACTAGGGTTACCATATTTCCAATTCCAGAAAAGAAGACACCTGTCGGAGGCACACCTCACTCCCAACCAACCAGGCACTGCTAGTGCCCTCATGCCTGACCTACAGCCCCTTGGCACTGCCAGTACCCTGCATTCCTGACTCGCAGTCCCCTACTCCCCCCAGCAGTGTTTCCTGAGGCTCCCCAGCCCCTGCAAGCACGGGCAACAGCCCCTGTACTGTCGGCCCAGCCATGGAGCTCCCCACTGCCCTCAAAGGTCTCCCCGCCTCATTCCCACACTGGACGGGCAGGTGCCCCACTCTGTCCTGTTGCAGCCCTGG